AGATTAACCTTTACTCTAAAATATATATATATATATATATATATATATATATATATACACACAGCACTGTTGAGCTAATGAGCAGCAGTGTATGTTAAGCAAGGCAGCATTGTGAAGCAGTACATTAAAGGGGAATTATGGTGTTACGAGGCAACGTCTTGTTCTATTCACCCATTCCTGACGTTAGTCAGGCCTCTGCTGCATTCGTTAAAGCTAACTCAATTAGCCCTAGCACACCAGGGCGGCTGTAGTGAATGTGGGTCTCCTTGGAGAAGGGGGCCGTTGTCCTTAATTCTCCAGACGCTGTCTTGTGCTCAGATTGTTCCCTATGCTCACTGTTGAAAGGTTAAGAAAAGGCAAAAGTAAACTGTTCCCCCCCAGATCAAATCTAAAACTGCATTTCTGGGACATATATGAGTCAATTTTATTTCCTAGTAACAATGTTTTGTGGTGTTTACAAATTGGTAAAAGGTTGTGTTAAACCCACATTGGTTGTCACAGAGTAATCCCTTGTCATCACCATGTACAGAGACTCTATTCTACAACTGTAGTTCCATACATCATAACACACAGACACACACTACATAATTACCTCACTAAGTTAGTTTCAGTTCTCTCCACATACAGCCTCTGTCTCTCCCTCCCTCTTCTTCTTGTCTTTCTTTTTCCTTTTTTAAACGTCAATACTAAATTGCCATCCATAATACAAACACCTGTTCACAAAACCCCATGCAATATCCAAACTGCATTCAATCCAGGCCCGGACGAGGCTTATACGCCATGTCAGATGATGCATTTACTTTGATGGCCAAACAAATCTTTTACTTGCTTCACTGTGTTTGTCTAAACGGGGTGTAAGATGACATAATGTAACACTTTATTGATCCCCCAGCGATACATTCAGATATAGGGGGACCTGTCTTTCACCCTCTCATTTCAGTTAAGACAAGCACCACACTCATTAAGTGTCTCCCCAGAATGGGAAAGGGGACCCACCCATTGCATCCCCCCCCCAGTGTCTGCCAGATAGATGGGATGTTTATTGGGGGCCACAGGTCAGGAGAATGGGGTGGGGTGGACCCAGAGGGAGAATTCTTCTTGTTGAATCCGTCAGTGACCCTACCCTCCCTTCGTTCCCCCCCCCCTTCTCTCTGCCTCTTCTGTCAGAGCATTGTTAGGAGGCCGGGAGACACTCAGTGCAGCCCTCCCACACCTTGGGCCAAACGCACACTGCGGTATTGTTCCAGCATCTGGGGACAGACGGGTTGGGTGAGGAGGGGGGGGATTGAGGGAAGGATACAGTAGATGTAGGGAGTTAGTGAAGGACTGGTGGGGAGATGGCCTCAGGGTTGGGCTGCTCATGGGATTGGCTTGATGATGGGTGGGGGGTAGATGAGTGAGGGGATGGAGGCAAACATGTCTGTGTAAAAGGTAAACAAAAACTGGCTCCAGTGGGTCAGTGTGTGGCATGGGGACAGTGCTGAATCACATGATCTGGTCTGTCTGACTGAGGTCAGCGATTCAGCAAGTTTGAATTTACGACCATCTTGGTTTGTTTAATCCACCTGTAAATCAATTCTTATTGGGCATTCACTCCAGATTTCGAAGCATCCATGTTAGATCTAGATCAAAGGATTCTTCCTTCCCAGCACCCTCTAGCTCTCTCTTACTGCCTTTCATTCTTCCACCCATACCATCTCTGGCTCAAATAAAAACCTAGCCACGTCATGACTGGGGGAGGCTGATATTGTCCCCACATTCTCTGTTGGCTCAGGCTGGTTTTGCCTCCAGCATCTGCTGTGCAGGGTTGGTCTGCTGGTTCTCTAAGCTCCCAGCTCACACGTGGCACATCTGGAGAAAGGATGATGCTGCTGCTGCTGATGAGGCCAGTATGCAGCAACTTATCCAGTACCAGGCTGTCCTAGCCTGACTCCAATAAGTGCACACACAATCACACACAATTCATATCAGAACTGCCAGACAAAGTCTTACCTCTCTGGCCAGTTGCCTTGCTATGTGTAATGGATAAAAGCTGTTGGGGAGTCATGGGGTTCTGGGGTGGGATGGCTAGTGAGGTCAAAATGATAAAACTGGTCAACAAATTCCCCAGTGCTAGAAATCTGAGAACACTTGTTGTTTGTTTGTATCTGCCCCTTTTCTTTCTTTCTTGTTTTTTTTTTTTGTTTTTT